TGTTGTGTCAGCTGTATCTTTTACTTTAAACCATCCAATTAAATAATAGTTTATGCTGGCTTTCTGTTTTAGTTCACGCATTTAAAACCTGGAACTCAGATAAAAAGATAGACTCCGAATAAATTCCGTATGTTATTTATGAGTGGGGCGACACATTAGCATGGAGTTCACAATAGATCATATCGCTTTTATTCCACCTTACAAGCTTAGCAGCACAAACAGAATAATCAACATATTATTTGGCTGTCATCTGCTGAACAGAAAGCAGAGATCACAAGGAGGTTTTCCCTAGCTGCAGTGATGGCCTTTTTGTTCCAAGCCCCCATCTGGGAGGGCCATGGTGTGTTATCATATGGAACGCGGGGTTTGCTGTAATCTGCTTAGCTGCACTGCAGTTTGAATCTTTATTCCATGTTTGTGTAATTTATAATTTTAATGAGACCACGGCTCTTGTGGGCTTTGAAATATATTAAAAGCTCTTTTGTGCATATGCTTTTGTTCTTGCTTAATAGACTCAGTGTATTTAAAACTGATGAATTTTTATTCATGGATTTGGATGTCTGGGGATTAACTTAGACTGAATATCATTGCACTCATCTATTGATGTTTGGAACTTTTTTTTATACTTGTATCTTGTAAGTGGAGAAGACCCTACAGAACTTGTGTTTTAAACCAGCTCAGAAATAACTAATAAAATTTTACTAAGCAGTGAGAAAAAGTCCTGATGACAGTTTATTTTTACTGCATAAACTCACGTGAAATACAATTCTGCTCTGAAAAAAAGTGCTTGAATCCATGTACATGTGTGTATGTAGAACTTTGTAACTAAAAAGCACTCTGGGAAAGCTGTCAAAATTTTTGTAGAATAATAGTAGTGACAGGCACTTGATTTGCATTTTTCTTCTGTTCAGGTAACTTGAAAATGTAAATACTGAGCACACTTTTGTCTGACTGTGTTGCCTTTCTCCTGTTTTTTAACATGTTTATTAATGCAGAGTGTGCATAAGGTATTTCATTAGAAGGTGATGCTCATAGCTGGGAAGTATTGATGAGCATACAGAAGGATTCTTCATTACTGTTACATTTTCTGATAGTGCTAAAACTACTCTTGTTTTCTGCTTTGTATTTTTCAAATGTTTAATGGATTGCTTATAGTTTAATTATCTGTCAGGTTTGATTTACTGTTTAAGATCCCATACTGTGTGACTTCTGTGTTCATAAACCACTGTGGAGTCCTCTTCAGTGACGACATTCTGAGACCAGCACTGGGGATAAGGTTGAGACAGTTGTGTTTCTTTCTGAGCAGTCCTGCTGATGGTGTCCTGAAAGAGGCTGCTAGTTTGATGTGGAGGGGTTTTGGTTTTTTGGTTGTGGTGTTTCTGTTGGGTTTGGTGTTTTTTACCAGTGAACAATTGTCTTTGCAATGACAAAATATTTTAAGTAAGCAGCCTTTTTGCTTGTCGGTGCATAGGGGAGCTACTTACCCCTCTTTTATTCACTGTTCCAAGTAGTATTCCCAAAAATACCTTCATGTTTCTTCAAGGTGTGTCAGCACTGGAAGGACATGTGAGCCAAGGGCAACTTCAGGTTCTATAGGGCTGTAGTTTTTAAGTGCCTAATGTGAAAACTGGACTTGTAATTCCTTGTCTTATTACACTGAATGAATTTTCAAAGTCTGCATATCTGTGTCTCAAGAAAGTGAAAATACTGAAATTTCAGATGAACATGTGTGGCTCAGAACAGAGTTATTTGACCCTTGTGACATAGGCATGGGATATTTTCTCAGTTACCAGGAGGGTGACTGTGATGTCTGTCAAACCTTTGGTGTTTGTCCTAACTTTGACATCGTTGCAGCAAACTGTAAAGTGAATGTTTCAGCATCCCTGAGAGGCTCAGACCACACCTTGGCTCAGCTCTCTGGATTTGTTGTTCAGCAAAGATGGGTGTGTGGAGCTCCAGAGGAAGAGAGGAGCCCTGGAATGCATCTGGCCATTAACACAGCGTTTTGTACGGGGTTGTGGGATTGTTAGGAGTTGCTTCCCAAAGGTAAATAGAACCAGTGAGAACTACTTGAGATCTGCTTTGAAAAATTGCTCATTCTTACGTAGGCAGTGTCTAGTTATTTAACACCAGGGGATTCTGCTATGGGAATTTATATTTACAGGATTGAACTCCTTATGAGCTTGAGATCAGTAGATGGAGGAGCACTTGTTGGAGACAAACTGTCAGTGCCTAGTAGAGATAATGTGTAAAAATGATCTCTTCCAGAATATCAGCAAGCTTTTGCAGATTTGCCAGACTTAATCCAGTGTTTCTTGTAGAGTAAAGCAACAGCTGGAAATACAAAGCAAGTTCTGTCTGATCTCCAGCATGGAAAGACCTTCTGAAAATTATTCCTTCTTTTGCTTTAGATGTTTGGAATCTTCAGATTGTAATTAGAATATTGTATTTATTATGTATCTGATAAGGGAAGAATCCTGATAAACAAGATATAGACCCTTCTCTATTCTAGCACATAGAGCATTAATTTCACGCAGAAGTTTTAAAATAATAATTTAATGTAAACAACAGCTCAAACATAAATATTTGAAAGGCCTAGTCAGGGTGCAGTTTTTTCTTTGGTTTGGGTTTTTGCATTTTTTTAAAAGTGATAATCTCAGAGTAACTCGGTGGGAAAGAGATGGTGCAAGTTACGGGATTGCCTTGCGTAGAGAAAGGTGTCTGGTAAGAAGTGGGGAATGTTAGGAGGAGAGTTTGTTACCTGAGGAAAAACTGATCAACTGTCACTAAATATTCAGTGAAATTCCAGAATTGGGAAGTGTTACATAAAGCAAATGTGACTGGAAATGTTTTATGAAAGTGAAAAATCCGTTTAGTATCAAGTCCAGTAATTTGTTTAATTCCACTTCCAGTGCCTGCAACTTCAATTTTCCTGTGTTTAAAAATTTGGCACCATATGTTAAACTGCCTTACACAATGCCATTGGTTTTCTGAAAATGATAAATCTGCTCATTGATTTCCTAATTTTATTATGTACACAGTTAATTGTAATCCAAGATTACAGCAAACAAGATGGTAATTTCTGGACAACCTATGTGCATTTCCCTCGGAGTGTGTTACAGAAGCAAAGAGTACAAAGAGAATACCATTTGTGCTATCCTCACAGGAGCTGTCAATAAAAGATGTAATAGGGGATTTAGGAATCTGGAAATGGCCAACTAATTTATGTGAATCTATTTTATTTCAGCTAGAAAGCCCAAGCTCTGTTTCGTCTGCACTGCATATTGCAGAGCACAGGCTGTCTATAGAAAAGCAGGCGGCTGCATATGGATAGTCCCTTGATATCATTCACTTGCTGTGTAATCTTATTATGCAAAGTTCTAATCTTCACCTAGAATGAATGCCTCTGGGTCAGAATATAGTCATATCAGGGTTTTTGAGGTCATGTTTTGTGATCCTTAGCTTATTCTTCTAAGTAGAGCTGGGATTTAAAGAGTATTCCCCAGACACTAGCAGAGATAGACGGCAAAACCTGCTGCCTTTTTGGAAGACAAGACCAACATGAGGTCCCTGGTAGGATTAAACTTGATTTGTAGCTGTAGGATTTTTTAACAGATGTATTATTGGACAGGGAATAGGGGGCCACCAGCACAGCGAAATTGGATCACGATTGGCATTCTCAGGGAGTCCGCTGGCTGCTAAAACAGCAGCTGCATGTGGATTTGACTTCTTTCAGGTGAAGCGACTTCCAGTCATTTGGAAAGGATGGGATGAAAAGGAACCTTGGTGATAATTTTGATGTCTGCAAGATTTAGTACCAATGTAATGGGATTATCGGTAACACCTTCACTGCAGAAAAAGCCACCTGGCGCTATAACTGGCAGCGACTGAGAACTAATCCTTTCCCATCTCTTGGATGTCATTCATGAGGCTCAAAGTGATTTCTGCCCTGCTAGCTGTGATTAATTTTTATAAACAAACAAACAAAAAAATCAAATGATGAAAGCACAGGCTATGGAAGGAAAAGGGAACAGAAGATAATAGTAATTACATTTTGCATTTTATTTGCTGCGGGGGATAAACTATACTGTTCTTCCAAAATAACCAAATTGTGTCCTCTGTGATAAATATGGATGTAACCTTTTTTAATCAGTGTCTATGTTCAGCATAAAACCAATGTCTATTCCAGTATAAATTTTTCAGCTACCTGCTATACTATAGTAGGTAGTGCCTGGAAGTAATTACAGTAGGTTTTAGGCCACTAGGGCTGTGATAAGGATGTTTATCCAACTGATCCATTAAGTTTTCAAGGGGCCTGTGACTTAAATAATTTGTTTTATTGTGCTTAATGGTCTTATGCTCGATCTGGTGGAGTTGCCTGCTGATGGCACTTTGTGTTAAAACTATGATGTGGAAAAACGTTCAGCTGTTTACCTTCCTGTGATCAACAGTATGGTATTGTTTTAAAAATGTACTGATACAAAGTTTGCAGAGGAAACAATTATATTTTACTGATGCTTAAGATAATTTTTTTTTTTAAATAAACTAGTTTGTTCTGGTGGGTTTTTGTTGTTTTTTTTTTTTTTTTTTTTTTTTTTTTTTTTTTTTTTTTTTTTTTTTTTTTTTTTTTTTTTTTTTTTTTTTTTTTTGCTGGGCTTACTCTTGCTGCAACATTCACTTATTAACTTGAAGTCGTTACTTAAAACGACAGGGAAGCTTTCAGGATTGTAGTTATTCCATGGAATGATGTCTAAAGAGGAACCTTAACATTAAAAACACCCTCCCATCCTCTGAAGTTACCTTGTTAGGGTCAGACTGTGTATAATCTATGTATATATGTGCCTCAATTTGAAATTAACTTTCTTGAGTGGTAATCAAAAGCCTTGCATAAAAGCTAAGAATTTTTTCATTATTATGAAATCTGATAAGCCTGGACATTGAAAAAAAAAATCCTTTGTACCACATCTACAAACTGAGGCTGGTGAACTCCATGTCTCAGGAGCTAAGAATTTATTTTAAGAGGAATGGGAACAAAATTTGAGAGCTCTTCACTCATGTTCTATCCTTGCTGTTGGTTTTTTACCGTGACAGCTCTTGCAGTAGGCAAAGCTCACTCTGAACCCTGTGTTTCCTTGAACAGCTTATAAATCTATGGCTCCTCATGCAGAGCTGCTCAGAGACATCCCAGAGAAACACATGTGTTCAAGGTAACTATCCAGAAGTTTATGTCATCCAGAATCTAGAAGGAATCAGTCTGAAACTCATTTTTTGAGATGTGTAGCAGTTGTTTGTAGTTTCACAAGGAAAAATATTGTAGTTACAGCCTGACAGCTGTTGGCACGAGAGGTTTACATGTTCTCTGGATGAGTGGGCTCACTGCTCATTTGTCACAATTTGATCTGCACACTCTGGGCATTGTAGTGCTTGGTTTATACAATTCATCTTTACCTGTGATATCCACAGGTGCCTGAACTCTGTACTGTCTTAATAGAGGAGTATAAGGTTTCTGAGGAGCATGGAGCGAAACTACAGGATGGTTGTGCAGTATTTTTCTGTCTGAGCTGAGCAGCAGTTTCTGTCTGAACTGAGCAGCTGCCTTTCTAGCAGGTGCTGTTAAGGAGTATTGGTGATGGACTTCTCTCACAGCATAGTTGTGGTCATAAATTCACACTAGTTGTGCAACTCAAATTCATCTGCTGTCACTCAACCTTCCTTTTCTCACCTGTTTCTAGTAAGAGTTGTGCAAATAAAGCTGTGCACTTTTAAATTCCTGTCTTTAGTTAGTGAAACATCATGAAATGTAGAAGGGGATGTCTTTACTTCATTATTAAATGGAGTATATTGTACAAACACAGCATTTTTCTCTTTTGTTTTTGCTTTTTAACATACTCTATTGACTTAGCAAACTATGTTGACTCAGTAAATCAGGGAAATCTTGCAGTGGTTTTAGTTCATGGTAAGGCAATACCGAGTTTAGGGGGGCATGTTTCTTGCAGAATTTAAAACTTGCTTCAATTGCTTCAGTATATCTGTTTTCTACTTCCTTAAGATACATATATGTAACTATCCTAACAGTTTGGGGTAAGGAAACGTTTTAATTAAATTAGCATTGCAGGAATAGGATCTCCTAATCAGAGTTGAACTCGAATGTTTGGGGGAGGGAGTCAGAAGATATTTGCAGTCTAATGTGCTGCAGAACTTATGCCATGGTACCATAGCTAAGAACAAAAAGACCTAATGCCTTATTTTTATATGCAACTATTTTGGTAATGTAGTCAAAGGAAAGCTCTGCTTCACCTCCAGAGCTCCAGAACTATCAGATATCCTAACTTTTCCTGTGATAGCCTTACTTAGGCAAGCCATTCAGGACTCCCATTTTCTTATTTTGTCTAGTTCTTCAAGCCTTTTTTCATTTGATTGATTGCCAGGTTGTTTTTAAAGTTTTTGTTGACTGTTTGATTACTGCAGTTTTCTGTGAAAGTAATTTCAGTTGTTTGAATCGCTTCAGATGGTTTGGTGCTGCTTTAAGGAAAACAGCAATCTAACTTTCCCTGTCTTCACATGATTAAAACAACTCCATCAGGTGTTATTAAATAAAATAACTGCATCTGAGTGACAGTGTACTCAGCTGAATGTGACAAGCTGGTGAGAGGGGTCTGCGTGGTAAAGGAAAAACTTCACGATGGCATTTGAGTTTCAGCTGTATTCATCTCTTCAGATACACCTGATTATCTGCTAGTTTTATCACACTGGGTTTTTTTTTTAATACTTATGTTAGAGGTTTGTAAATGTCAGCTTGCTTGTTCCCAGATGAAGGACGTTCTTCTCTTCCCCTGCAGGCCGGAGCCAGCTGAACGACGGGACACTGTAGGATGCTCCGCGATGTCCTAGGGAAAACCTTCCGCTTTCTGGGCTACACTGTGCAATATGGCTGCATAGCACACTGTGCCTTTGAGTACCTTGGAGGAATTGTTGTGGTAACTTGTCGTTTTCCTGACGTTTTAAAGAAGATAAAACTGTAATATTGAAATTGTCCTGTGTGATCATGTCAGTATTTCAAATTTATCGATTTTCTTTGAAGCGTTTTCAGAGCATGATTACTAAATGCCTATTTTTGGGGGGGCAGGTCCAACCTTTATGAAAGTTATTTCTACTTTGGGCATTCATATTTTTTGATGCCTTATTGCTTGAGACACCACTGAAGGAAACAGGAAACTATCATTAAGCATTTTGCAGAGAGTACATCCTGTAAGAAAGACTGCAGTCGCCAATAGGAAATGCTCTTGTTTCCAACTCTGGCCAAATTTCTGGGTGTTTTATGCTCCTTCCCCCTCTTTTCCAGCAGATACTGCTGCTGGTCATGGGGGAGTGTGGCTGTGAGCTGCTCTTGCAGCTTCTGTGATGATTCTGTTTTACAGAGGCTGAAGAAAGGGGTAACATGGCAGAGCTTCGAGCGCTGCTCCTCGTAATTTCTTAGAGATTCAGGTGCTGAAATGAGTCCATAGCACCCAGCACAGTTCAGGACCAACCCCAAGCAAATCTGGAGCTGTAACACAGTTAGAGGTGCTCTGGAGGCTGTGCTCAGCTTTTAAATGTATCATGTTCCTTGGAGGATTTTTAGTTGTTCTCTACATTATCTTTTCTAACGTATTAGCAAATAATTGAAATATTAATGTATTTCAGATAAAAATAATTTGAAATAGTAATATTTTTTTTTTCTCATTTATTTTTAATTTTCAGTGTTCTGGACCTTCAATGGAACCAACCATTCAAAATTCTGATGTTGTGTTTTCGGAGAACCTGAGCCGCCACTTTTATTGCATCCGAAAGTACGCTCCTGGATTTTCCATCCCCTTTGCCAGAGCTTGCCAATAACCACATTCCGTCTGTCCTTTATTTTTCCTATATGTTTCTGCTTCTAAATTGTAATTTTGCCTTGTGTTTGATGGAGGGTTAAAGTTATCAGCACATACGGCCCATCAAACAACTTGTCAGAATTAATTTAGGATAAAATCTACGTCGCTTTTACAGCTTTGTCCAAAAAATGGAGAAAATCCTTTTTTCCCCCACCAAAGCGATTCTGTTGTGTGACTGTAACTTCTCCTCTAAGCCTTTTTGTCTCACTTGAAAAGCAAGCTCTAGGTATTACTGTCCTTAGGTCGTAGTCTTAAATGTTTCATAAATGATCTAAATAACACAGAGAACTGTGTAAAATTACACCCTGAGTAAAACTGAAGAAACCAAAATTGTAGACAGGAATTTTAAGCAGAAGGGAACATATTTGTGTGGATATTTTTGGTGTATACCCCCTTGATACTCTTGTACTCAGCCAAACAGTTTGTACTTAGAGTTCTTCTGTTTGTTTCTGTTTTTTCATCTCAGAGGAGATATTGTAATTGTGAAAAGCCCAAATGACCCCAAATCAAATATCTGTAAAAGAGTAATTGGCTTGGAAGGGGATAAAGTCTGCACAAGCAACCCTTCAGATTTCCTTAAGAGTCACAGCTATGTAAGTATTATCTTGCTTTGTAAATTAATGATTACTTAAGTAGGCCTGCTAGTCTGTAAAGGATTTGCAATATTTGAGTATCATCATAAATCATAAATTACGGCATTCATAAATTATTATTTCTTCTTGTATATGTACAGTAAAATGCTGTAATTTTAAACTCTGTGTATGGCAAGCTGTCTTTCTCAGTGCCTTTTGTCTCTGTAGGAAGTGTGGGCAGATAATATTTTTGCTCTGCTCTTTGCTTAGGTCTTCTTCCCTGGAAGAATGCTCTGAAATTCTCTGCATAAAGTGCAGTACAGGTGGCAGACTCCAAGGCTTGTTCTTCAGGCAAAACTGTCCATGTATTTTAAATGCTAAGAAGTGAATATTTGCCTCTGCAATAGCTTTGAGATTTTTTCAAAGTTACACTTTCGTGTATGTCTCTATATTTCAATGTAACAATATTTTAATTTTCCTGAGTATGGTTGGAAAAGCAGTAGCTTTCCTAACTTCTCCAAAAAGCCAGGTAACAAGATGAAATGAGAAGGGGAAAATAACCTTAACGCTCACTTGTCCTTCTGCAGATATACTTCACAGAAGCTTGGAAAGATCTGTGACAAAATGTTTTCAGCAACTCCTTTTTAGGCTGTCATTAGAAAAAACCTGAGGAATCATGATCACAGAAAAATGGGATCCCTTTCAAAAGGGTTTTTCTTGTCCCCAAAGCATGTTTGACCATTACCTGTTCAGCACCTTGTGGAGCCAGCAGATGTTCACAGGTGTTCTGAATCTTAAAAGAAAGATATTATGTTGCCCTTTCATCCACTTCATCCTCATGATCAGAAGGGGAGGACAGAACATCTAGTTTCTCCATAGATCAAGTTGTGTTAACTGTTTAACCAAGGAAAAAAATCTACAAAAAACCCCAAAGACACCAACCCAGCTTTCTTACCCAGCTGAAGAAACTCTCTGGCTCTGATGGAACTAGTCATTGCAGTGAAATAGGAATTTCCCAGAGCAGACCAACCTGAAATGGAAACCTGGATTCTGTGTACACTGAGAGAAGACACAAACTGAGTTTCTCTGAGCATCTTGTTCCTCACTTGTCTTAGTCTTGAAAAGGAAGTTCAGGAAAGATTGGTACTTAACAGGATGTCAGCTTTTCTGGAAACCCTGAAGTAACCAAATGAATATCCAGCAGAACAATTTCTGCCCTAGGTGCAAGATTCCTTGTCTCCAGTTTTAAGCTATAATGTAGGGAGAAGGAGTGGATGGGGAATGCAGAGTCCATTTCCTGTTTTCATCCAGGCTAATGTATGGAAATACAACAGAGCTTTTGTAATTCTTACGTCATAAATTGTATCTAGGGGGAGAAAGGATCTAAATGGAAATGCTTTCGTTGTTGCTGCATATCTGTTTTTCTCCTGTGTTTAGTGGTTGAAAAGGTAGATCTTTCCATCTGTTCAGGAGATGCTTCCTTTACAGAAGAACATATTCTCAACATAGATATCTGCACTTTATGTTCATAGCTGAGGCTGAATTATTCACTAATTGTTCTTGTTGGGGAGGGGGAAATGATACGTGTCTGTGTTTAGGCAATTACCTCATCACATTCCTTATTTTAGTGAATCACTGTGCTGTGCACTTTGAATTCAAACACAAAATTCCTCAAAGCAAATAGCAGCAGCAGATGCACAGAGAACTGGCTGTTTGTTTTGTTGATACTTGCCTGAGTTGGGTTTTTGAAAAAAAAAGATTGCCCAAACTGAGGAGAGGCCTCAGCTAGGATTCCAAATGGCCAAGAGTGCTGCCTGGGGGGTCTGTCTGCCAGGGAAAGGTACCACTGCAGGCACTCCTGAAGTGAGGAAAGCCTAGGAAGTGTTGTGAGTTTTGTTGTTCATATTTGGCTACTAACTGCTTTTTTTTCAAATGAGAAATCTCCCAAGTGGGGTGTGAATGCTGTGACTCCAAAGTGTGTAAGGTCAGAGGATTCCTTGTTTTTATTACTGTGACCTGCTCAGCTTTCCTTGACTACTTGTCTCCCGTTTTGGGGAGTGGTAGTGAATAGTTATGTCATGTTTGCAGACTTATTACAGTAAATATGAAATATCAGGTGCCAGAAATATTACCAGCTTAGGCAGCTTAAGCCTCTGCCTCATTCTGTGCTGGTGTTTGGTTAGGTTTTGGGTTTGTTGCTGCTGGTTAGGTTTTATGAGTTAGCCAGTTACTGGAGATGGCAGAATAATGGCAGTACGATGTAAATGCAGCTGAGGGTGAAATTACCTCTAAGCAGCTGCTTCTCTTGGCTCCCTGAGAGGAGAATCCTTATAGTCATGTTAGCAGCAATTGTGCTTAGTCTGTACTGACTGTCAGCATTAGTGTTGGCATGTTTTACAGATTTTTAAGTTAGGGATGTTTGTGCTTAGAAGCACTGTCATGCACGATTCTTATTCTGAAGCCTGAGAGGATGCCAAAATCAGATCTACATCCAATCCTGGTTCATTCATGGATGTACTTCTCAGCATGCCTTGTATGTGATAAAGGTAATATAGATACAAGAGCAGAGAACTGTTTACAACTTGCTCTCTGTAAAATTACACAGATGAGATACTTTTTTGCTGCAAACAACCTGTAGATTAAAGAAAAAAAAAAACCAACCTAACACAACAAACCAACCTTCCAGGCTATAATAAAAATGAAACAAACAAAAAAATCATACAAGAGTTGAATAAGTTGTTCTGAAAAGTGGTATTTCAGTTGAGTAGAAATGCAGTATAGCAGTGGCAATGATGTGAAAGTCTTTACAGTGGTAGAAAAAATACTTTTGCTGCTATATGTAACTGAAGCTGTTATTTTGTCAGAGTGCACTGAGTGTAAAGCTGTACCAAAAAGCTGTCTTGGACAGAGTTGTTGGATTACAAGATGATGGAACTAATCCCACATATAAAACTGATTGGTGTAAATTAACCATGTGCTTAAATTACAATTTAAATACATAAGAAGTGTCTTTTCTTTGGACTCTTCATGGTACATGATGCTTCATATGCTAGAGGTTGCAGTTGGGCTGTAGAATAATAATGGGGGAAATCTTTCTGTTTATGTGAAAAGTATAATGAAATTCCTTTCCTGAATAAGCTGCTATAGCATTACAAAGTTAGGAAAATGTACTTGTCCTTTTTGTTGATATCTGGTTTGAAATGTGAGCATTAGGCTGGCAGCTTTGCTGGGCTCTTTTGGTTTTTATAAACATTTATAAATAGAGGCAAGTGTATTAGCTGTAATAAACATTTAAGAATGCCTAATGTATTTTTACTGTATGAGAAGCAATGAGGTATGAACCCAAAAGTTAAAAAGGTAAACAACTCATTTTTAGGACTGTGGTATTCAGACCTAGTTTCAATGATTACAAAATATCTTCACTGATTTATTAATTTAACCATAAGAACTAAATAATAAGGACTAATAAGGAAATTAATACAGGAAACTCCTGAAATGGTCTCATAAAAAGCCCCAAAACCAACAGCTGAAAGGTTCTTTTTCATATTTAGTCTTTTATTTCCTGTATGGAGAAGTCTTAATACAGATCCAGGTTTATAATTCAGATCGAGTATCCTATTGTTATATTTGAATTTGTTTTAATGCCATTTGCTTTAGCTTTAATTTCTTTAGTGCCATATGTTCTTGTGCTGCAGCTCCTATTTACAAGCTGAAAAAGTGAGGGGGAAGCCATCAGATTAAAACAGCTTGTGTGTCATAAACCACCAATATGCTGAGCCTTTGTGTCACTTAAACAAAAGTAGTCCCTAATAATGTCACTTAATAGAGCCGGAGTCTGTAAATAAGGAACTGCCTTTTGCAAGTCCTGGTGATAAAAAGCTGCCATACAAATCCATATCTCAGCAACCCTGTGCTGGTGATCAATCACAGCTCAGCACTAATGCTGGGAGTGGGGCTGAGGGGGGGAGTGTGTTTACCTTGTGCTAAAATGAGGTTCATTGCGGAGATGGCATCCCTGCATCCTGTGTTGTGCCCAAGATAATGCATCTCCCCGTGTTTGCACATCACACAAGTGGTCTTGCAACAGCACTATTAACTCTTAAACAGTCCTTGTCACATGCAGTAAGAATATTATGTGGGTACTAAGAATAACATAGTGCAAACACCACACTATCATAATCACTGGACAGTTCTACAGGTTTGGGTACACGGTGTAAGACACTGAAAAGTGGTTTGATGTTTCAGGGCACTCAGTGCCATTGATAGTCTCTTTAAAATAGCCCGAATAGCAATTAAAAACAAACTTATCAAAACTCTAATTCTTTTTTCCTTTGTTCTAAGTATCTTAATAGTTCATTTGCACTCATGGTTTAGTACATCAATAAGGTAAGTTTTAATTGTTGCTGACCAGGAGAAAGAGTAAGAAATTTCCTTTCTCCTTCTCCTTAGTTCTAGTGTTCCAGAGGCCTGAGAGAAAGTTATGCCATAATTTTAACCAGTGGCTGTGCTAAATGTCTGGTGGGAGAGGAGAACCGATTTGCAATATTTGTTTGGTTTGCAAATCTGTTCAATGTGCAGATCACTCCATGTCCCAGTACAGAGAGTTCGTGACTCAAGCTGATCTTGAAATTTCTGAGCAGTGATTAAAGATCGAAACTCTGATTTGTCAAAACTAAGTTATTGAAGGGAAAACAAACACAAAGAATTTTATCAGCCTGCTTCCCAACATTTCCAGGATTTCTTCTGCTCAAGTGGATTGGTCTTTGCGCCTTTGCAGTTTTGGTTTTGATATTTCAAGAACATACAAGTAGCAGGACTTGACACGACAGCTCTGGTCCTGTTCAGCAGAGCTCCCCCAGGTCTCTGTGGGGTCAGGGGAGGAGGGCAGTGTCTGCACCATGGCTTGGGCACAGGGCAGCAGAGAGAGGCTCCTCAGTGAGTGAGCCCCCACTGAGGTCTCTCACATCTTCCTCCAACAGCTCTTTCTCCCCCACTGTCTGAACCGAGAGGAGGCAGCTGCA